ACTGCAAGCGTAAGAATCTGTTCTCATGTATTACATTAATATATATATGGGATGTGTGTTATATTTTATTTTATAATACACACACTCACGACATTGTAAATCATTACTAATTAATAAAATTACTTACTTAATACAGTTTTATAATTAATGTTGTATAGATTGTTAAAAATGTATGGGACTCGTATTACTGCATAAAATATCTAACCATCATAATATAATTACATTCACACACATATACAACACACACATACTTTATATCAAATTTTTTTTTTTCATTTGTGGAACTTGATTAAAATGAAAATGCAGAATTGAATGAATTTTGAACACTTGTAAATATAATTTTTATTCCGTTTAAAACAACTTTAAGAGTCAGGACTCATGTATTTCATTAATATGTATGAGATGTTAATGAAAAAAATAAGTTATGTAAGATCAATTAAAAAAAAAAAGTTGTATAAATTGTCACTAAGATATTTTATTTTACAATATACAACCCACGACATCGTAAATCATTACTAATAAATCAAATTACTAATTTAATCTTTTTAAGCTAAAGAATATTGAGCAATGACAGGAGAAAGAAGTTATAATGGGTTAATTAAATTAAGCACTTACTAGATTATTATCAAGACAGGAGATATATAGGTTGGGAATTAATGTTAGTAGCAATTTCTAGGTAGAGAAGAAAGAACAAATTGCCTGCGTGATACGATTTCGCGAGTAAGATCTCGGGACCACGGGTAACATAGGAGCTAATGCGTCACTATTAAAGCCTTCTGAATTCAGTTTTTAGTTTTACCACTCTGATACGTGGCAGAGTAAATTTTAAACCGTAATTTTTTACTTTACATAATAGGGATCTCATAAAAAATTGTTATGTGGAAAAATATTATTTTACGCATTATTACAAATGTATATAAAAATATTTACTGAATAACATACACAAACAACATGATAGTCCAGTAGGGGAGGTTGGTAAGTTTGGAAGCCATAACCTATCCACCAAGCCAGAACTTATCCACCAAGCCAGATTTCACTCGGATGTTTTCGTCTATTCTCGGTCTCACCTTAAGCCCTTATCCCTTATTTCTCCTTTAGTTAGTTATCAAATTGTTTCATAATTTATATTTTGACAATTTTTATTAATATCTATAATATAAAATGGCTAATGACTTCAAATAAACATAACCAGAGGTACTCTAGAGTAAGAACATTTGGCACATGACACAGCAAATCCTGTCACAATATTTCAGAGAGGATAATACCTACCTGATATTTGTGTAAAAAGTGTAAATGTGTAAAATCGATGATATAAAATCCCACTACCAGTCAGTCGATTTTTGAACAACAAAAAGTTGCTATAACATTTGAGGTATATACCTCTTAGGAAACACAGGCACACACTCAAACTCAAACACGTACACAAGCGCGCATGCACAATAAGAAAAATTATAATAATTTTTACGGATTAAAGTTTTTTGAAAAATACTTCAGAACCTTTAATATTAAATATTAGGAGCAGTGATTTTCTAATCTTCATGATATGAGTTGCCAGCGAAATCGTAAATAACAAATATTCTTAACATGTAGGTAGAGATCTGTAGCAAAAAATTATAATTATGGTGATATTTGACATCTAAGCCGCAGAAAACGTTAAATATAGCCACTGTTAGTGCAAAAGGTCGTATGTAATATTGACTTGTTTTACAGAAGAGCATATAAAAACCTATTTTTTCTTTACGAAATATTTGTATAATTTATTTATTTTCCTCTCATATTTTCCTATTTAACAGACCACTTATAGCAGTTACAAACTACAAAATATCACCTTTAGAACAAAGAGAACAAACATGTAAAATAGTTACATAAGACCTTTGGCATTAACAGCAGCGATATGTTACCATGAATAATAATCTGAGCTTAAGAATATTCTGAATTAAAACATTTTCCTAAAACTTTTCGAAAGGTAAGTAATAAACTTTTCATAGAGGTCAAAACTATTTAGAAAGTTCATCCACTGTATTATTTGAATTCTAAAAACACGCTCAATAATTAAGACCCTACAGAAAGTAGCTCTGACACCTCCCATCGTCAATGTTGGAACGAGGTCGCCAACGCAAGGAGTATGCTTACAACATCCTTCAACATCAGCTAATTTGAAATAAAATATCAATTAATCTCCAGAATAATGAGCTAGACTATTGAGTGTCTTGTTACATTCGCAACTTTATAAGACTATATGATATAAACATAATTACACGATCCGAAAAATCAGTTGACGGGTGAAATATCAAATAGAAAAGGGCCACCTTCAGTATGAAATAAACTAAACTACAATAAACTACCTTATGAATACCATCATGGCGTATTGGCACACTTTTCAGACCTACTTCAAATATACAAACATGAAAGCAACGAAATATGCATATTCATAGATAAACCGAGAGTAAAACATATAGTAAAAAGTAAGGATAAATCAAGAATAAGCAATTTTTTTAATTATTATATTATAGCAATTATTATAAAATAAGCATGAAGCTAGAAAAGAGACATAAGGTAATTCTGTTACAAATGGAAAAATCCAAACAACAAAGCCATGAGTCTCCAACATACAGGTGAATAGTTAACTCGCCAGCGTTTCGCCAATTCAGGCAACATCAGGTTAGAAAAACCAAGAACACTTATATGCAGAAAGAAAAAAAACAAAGGAGAAAAGAAGAAAAAATTATTACAGTAGACATCACACGAAGCCATCCAAATACATATTTAAGGGAAGAGAAGGTTCTATAACCCAGGATAATGTAAAGCAAATACTTATGAATAATAGGAAATGACAAAACTGTAGCAAATATATTTAAAAAAAAAAAGAATAATTAAAATTAACAATAAAGAAAAATTATACATATGTAATAACTGTTAACCTACTGATTGCTTTGAATAAAAATCATTGTTCCCTCCATATGTCTATACAAATATATAAAACAAAATGAAGTAAAACAGAAAGTGTGAATATATGTCCTTTGGATAAATTGTCACATGCACTTTCTAGAGAGGTATATCATTTTAATTTTTCAAGAGTTTATTTATTTTTCGCCGGAATACGAGTAAAAAGAAGGGTAATGTATATTGATTGACTAATTTTAAATAACGATTTTGGCCTAACGGCTGAAGCTATTTTTAATTTTGAGATCCCGACAGTTTTTTGATACAAAATACTGACAACTTATTAATTTTAAAAGTGTTTTATCCGTCTGTTATAAAGAAAGTAAGTTGTTTTATAAAGAACGGCTCGACCAATTTTTAATAAGAATGGCTCATATATTTAACTAAAATCTCGTGAAAGTTTCGTAACAATTTTAGCTCAAAATATTGAAAAAGAAATACTATATTATATTCTAAGTGTTTCTTACTTTTTATTAGTTACAAGCCGTAACATGTGCACATACGTTTGATATGTTAAAAAATAATTATCAATACTGGAAACATTAAAAACGTTAAAATAAAAATCCAAGTCAGAGATAATCTTATTCTACCTACAGAGAAATGTACACGTCCACTCAAATATCTTGGTAGGTAGTTCATAAAATTGACGTCTATGAATATTTAAACGTGGTGCAGTCGTCGGTTGCCATCCACAAAACATTTCGGCTCTTGACAAGTAAATGCCCAGTATCGCTGCATATCAACATTGGAAGTTTCGGCTTGATTTTCCTTCGGAGTGCGAAGGCACTCCATTGTTACAACAAATTTAAATATTCATAGAAGTCAATTTTACTAACGATCTACCAGTTTGTTCAATTAGAAATATTTAATAAGAGCATTTCCATTTGAGAGTAAATCAGAGTAAGATATTGACAACTATATTTTGATTTCTTTTTAACTTAGTTTCGTCACACACACCTGGCAGAAATACTGACAACCAGTGAGTCTGCAGTCAGAAAGAATAAAGATTCCTACACACAGAGTGCGATTTATCTCGGCGATATGACATTCCTGCCGGCGGTGATATGGCAATATTGCAGTATTCCTATCAATTACATTATAACTGTCACACATAACGCGGTAATCTATAACGATACCGACAAAGGGCATCGTATCGCCGGAACAAATCGCCTTTTCTGTGTTAAGAATAGTAGCATTAATCGACATGAGGGAAAGGAGTGCCCATCAGCATCCCTCTTTCTATCTCGATTTTAGAGATATCCTTCAACCAACTTCTTTTGAGCCGAATTACAGCTTTACAGCTTTTTATCAGACATGTTAATTATAACCATATCTTATATGAGTGTGTTAGGATATCTGTGTAAGTTATCGTGAACTCTTTGGTAATGTGCACATATGTGGTCGTTAACTGTTGGCTTGCGAAGATATTTATGTAAACTATTGTTTGTGATGTACCATGCAGTATTAATTATACTTCTAAAAGTTTTTGACTAAAAAGAATGTAATTTTCATATCGTTTTGGCTGCCCCGTATGTCAGTGAGTCCAAAGGGACATCAGTAGGTAAAAGTGTTCAGTTTCTGTTTAAATCTAATTTTGAACACCTTGAAAGGAATGGGCGTAATAGGCGTAGGCTGAGGTTTAACATTTGTTTTGTTTTTTTGTTGGTATGCGGACCCCATGTTATTTTTTTTATCATATGTCAGTACAGGAAATTGTACTTTTAAGGAAATTGGGTTTTAGGAATTCGGGAATTTTCAAGGTAAACAGGCAAATAACAACTATATAAAGTCAAGAGACAATAAAATACTCGTTTGGAGAGATAGATTTTAAGTAAAACATCAAACCACTTTAGAATAGAATGGAAACCCAACAGATATGCATATTAACACGAAGTAAGATGTTTTTATTAAAACTTTGTAAAATAAAATCTTTGTATAAGTTTATATATATATATATATATATATATATATATATATATTTTTTTTTTTTTTTTTTTTTTTCTTTCTTCAATTACTAAGTTCTCACTATATACATGACAAAGTTAATCTTTTCGCAGAAAGGGGAGGAGGAGCGAGCGGTGGTGGTGATCCAGCAATATGCACAATTGCTCTTCTACATCAACTTCGGAATCAACTTCGTCCTCTACTGCGTCAGCGGGCAGAACTTCAGGAGGGCATTGATATCGCTCTTCTGCCCGGACATCAGGAGGAGGGCTGAGACCACCCAAGTAACAACAGGTAAATACCATAACCTAGTAGTAAAATTTCTGTATTATATAATTAGTAAATACAACGTATGTATTAGGTATTAAGCAGAGAATAAAATATTATAAACTAATATTCGTACTGTCAGTAAAACAAGGCGATCGGAGACAATTTCGGAAACTATGATCATGGATGCATTTTTCCAGTTCCTGTTGGCTGGTACACACATGTTACTGGGCTAATAAAGTGGGAATGTTAAGATTTATTTTTCTAGCTTCTAGAACAATATATTAATAGAGCCTGGTGCGGATTAAATCCATAAATTTCGGAAAATCCAGTACCCTCGCCACAGGGGTACATTTTTAATTTACATATTTTATTGTACTGGAGAAATTTGTATGAATAAATTGTTTTTAATTAAAATTCGTCTGTATAAAGTCGATTAATTTCAAAACTGGCCCATTCCAATTTTATAACAAAATGTTTTTAATTTAATTATTAAAAGTTCTCACTGCACTACAGCATCTAATAAATCTCTCTTCTAATAAAAGTGTCTGAATCCAGTATTAACATTCATATGAACATATGGATTGATTTATTATCTACCTAAGTCTTGGTAAAAAATAACCAACAGGTGTTGCGACAGCCAACATATGATATATGTGATAACCACATATGTGATATCCAGCAGATTTTAAAACGCTACGATGATGTATCGACGGCTAAAAAATAAATTGATAGAGAGAAAACAGTATAAATTTAAATAAAAATAATAAGGGTTTACGAACCCGAAGGTTCGGTACCGACACCACAAATCGCTTATTACACACCTCATTCCACCGTTCGCCGTCCAAACATAGTCCATTGAGATCGACTTTAATGCAATCTTCCCACCTGCGCTTCGGTCTATCCCTCCGACGTTTGCCATTCGATACAGCAAATATTAACCTTTTAGGTTCTCTCGTTACTATGCCCAACAATTTTACAGGCCCATTTGATTCGCCGGGAAGAAATCATCTCAATTATATTACCCGGATAAAGTTTACGCAATTTGGCGTAGTGTAACCGTCTGAACTCTCCGGTTAATTCATCCTTCTTCGGTTCGAATATTCTACGCAATACTTTATTCTCAAAAACCTTAAGACGTTGCTCATCCCTTAATGTAAGCGGCCACGTTTCGCGACCATAAGTAAATGTAGGTGAGACAATGGTTTTATATATTCTAACTTTTGATTTGCGGGACAAGAGGCGCGAGCTAAGTAGTTTAGTCACACAAAAATAACAATCATTTCCCGCTTTCAATCTTACCTTAATCTCTTCTTAAATTTCGTTTTTTCTAGTTATCGTAGACATAACTCTATAATAATATATATAATTAGTAAAAAATATATAATAGAGGTTCACTATATTATATTACTATAATTAATATTATTATATTACACAATACTTGCTAGTCTAACCAGAAGAATTTGTATTCAACATTTAAATATTTTACAGTTAGTTACAATATATTTTCATATCTACTGAAAATAAGCTAAATTACGTACCTTCAATCATTTTTAGAAGAAAACTGAATATTACTCACCTGCAACAAAAAAAATAAATTATTACAAAAAGTAGTTAGACATTATTTATGCAAATAATTAATAATAAATTTTTACACAATAAAAATAAACCAACTCAGCCTGAAGGCTTCTACTAGCCCAAAGGCTGAAAGACTAATCAGTTCTTTAAAACAAAACTGTTGTCGGGGATGAAAGGGCAGTTGCCGGCTTTAGCGTAGGTCAACCAGGTGGTGAGAGGGAGGTGAGGGAGCAAACGCCCCCCGGCCATTTGTTATTATATAATTTTAAAAAAAAATACAAAATCGTATTAAAATAATTAATTTTAGCCTATCAATAAAGCAAGTGTATTAGAAAAATTATGAATGAAATTTTAAAAATTATTTTTATTTTATTTTTATATAAAATTATTTAAGGGTAGAGTAGATGACGTCATTGTCCGGGGTCATAAAAAAAAGGTCATGATTGAATCGAGTTTTACATTTGTCTTGGTCAACTCGATTATTTTCTTTGTCAATGGAAAAGAAAATGATAAATGTTTTAAATTAAATTTTATTTAAATAAACAAATCTGTTATTGTTGTTGACAAAGAGGTTAGAGAGCTGTGTTTAGCTGTGCCACGTCTCAAGGATCCATTGGATTTGCCATGCGTTATCAATAAGTTGTAAAAACATAAAATATTACGTTCATGATCGAATTGGGCGGGGAGGCCGAATGGAAATTAAATTTTATTTAAATAAACAAATCTGTTATTGTTTTTCTGAAGGAAGTTTGGTCAGATTCTTCATAAAACGATTCCACCAGAGATTTTATATCCTCAGAAAAATGGGGCACGAGCTATTCTGGATTTAACTGACCATTTTTGTCCATTCATTCTTTATAGCCTCATTCGTAACCTCAACTTCCCTAAACCCTTTCCTCTGCAACTTCCCATTTTATTAAAACTTAAGATTTTATGGTTATATTGGGTTGGTAAATATGTCCTTTCGGTTTTTCTGTTTATTTTTATGTCACTTTTACACTTCTTACTTGATGATTTAATCCCTAAGGTGGATTGTTTATCCTGTTTGTATATGTCAACAACTATATCTCTTAACTCTTGTTGAAACTAGATTAGTATTGTGTTTACTACTGCACTGTGGATATGGAAGGAAATATCATTCATCGTTGGCATATTTTTTTGTATTGTTTTAAAAAAGATAAGCGTGCTGCAGAAGCTCATAGAAAAATTTGCAGTGTTTATAGGGACGATGCCCTAATCGAAGGCACCAACCAAAATTGGTTAGCCAAATTTCGTTTAGGAAATTTTGATGTCAATGATGCTCAATGGTCCGCCCACATGAAATTGAAACAAGCAATATTGAGGCCCTTGTTGATCAGAATCTCACCCCTCAGAGCGATAGATTGCTATGGCTCGAAATGTGTCGCACATAAACGTAGAAAACCATTTGCATCAGTACAATTTTATATATAAATTTAAAATTTGTATATCATTATATACATGGTCTCTCATCATGACTAGTTGAGTCGAAAAATGGTCCTAATGACTTTAGTAAATTGGGATCATCTTCCAAGCCTTCTAAACACCGTGTAGAAGTTGGTGACTCACAGAACTAAAAAGTTTAGAAGTCTGGTCGAGAACTGTGAAATTACTAACTTCTTTATGGTGCTAAGATGGCTTGGAAGGCAATCTCCATTTACAGAATTCGTGAAGACCATTTTTCGACTTAACTAGTTATGGTGAGAGGCCATATATATGGCCTGAGATATATATTTTAAATTGATATAAAAAATTACATAATTTGGTTCTTTCTCAATAGAAAATGTTTAAGCTTAAAAAAAAAATAATCTTGATGTTTTGAGAGAATTGTATCAGTCAATGTCTCAGAGTTGATACATAATAACTAAAATTCGTTACATCTAATATTCATAACAGGAAAATAAATAATTCTTGAAATGCCTTTGATTACAACCTAGAAGTTTCATCAAAATTTGTTGCAGAAGTTTAATACAAATATACTGCAGAAGAGGGGCCAAATTGAGTAGCTTTGCTCTTTGAATGGTAGAATTGCCCTAATGAGATCAAGTAAACATAAACTATCTCGTATTTTTCTTTCCTCTTGTGTGGTAATAAGTTAGAAAACTTAATTTGAACTTTTATAACTAGATATCCTTAAAGGAAGTTATTTAAGAGAGAATGATATCATAAATTGTTCAAATTTAATGAACGATAAAGAAGGAAATATTAGTTATTGCTGTTTATTAGTTGTATTTTTGATTTTTTTTTAAATGTGACTGTTGACAACTTATCACCAGAAATCTCGAATACTTTGCTTCAGTAAATTTTGTCATCACATACGGATCTAATATTCCATTTGAGAATCGTCTGATTTTTTTTTTATTGATTTTTAATTTGATGGACATTTAAATAAAAAAAAAAAACAGAACATAATTTGGTTTTATTTTTAAACAAAATAATTATTAAGCTGGAGAAAATTTTTTTTTTTTTCAAAGAATATTTAAACAAAACTTTTTTTTTTAACATGTTATGTTTTTTCCTTTGAAAGAGACAGCTTTAAATTGCATTAGTTTTTTCTAAAGTGATTCAAATTCTCCTAACCGACCTATAAACATTCCTCCACTTATATAAGAAAAATATTAATAATAAATATCAACACGGAATAATTATTGACAACAAGAAACATTATTTTTTTTAACCATTCTCTGCAGTGATATAAAAAACTCTAATAAGACTTCCGAAAAAAATAAAATAAAATATAATGACATAAAATAGCTTAAAAAAAAATAATAAAAGTCACAGTTAATGATTTAGGTTATGTAAACATTTTAATCAAGATGTAAGAAATTTCGAAAATCCTACTTTCGACGAATAAATAATACTTCCTCTATTTTAGGTTATTAGCGAAAAATAACTAAGACAGTAAGAAATTTAAAAACACTTATGTGGCTGAAGTGCTCTCGATCAATCTCCGCTGGCTTTAGTACCAGTGATGCGGTTGAGAGAGAGTCTCCTGGAGTTCCCTCGCTTGATTGCAAATAGTGTATATAGGTATGAATGTGTTTTTTGCTTAGTTTTAATTTTTTCTATTTTAAGGTTACCTTATTTTATTCGTTGTCCATACTTTTTGATTATTATTTATCGTTATTTCGCTTCTATTTATTTTATATTTTTTGTAAATATAGTGTGAATGTTATCCTACCTCACTGTAACTAGTGTCCATGTGACAGATTGTTGTTATACTTAATAAATATAAAAAAACACAAATATTCCTGAAATCGGCCTACAATCGTGAGCAGTCTCATTATTCTCCAATCAGAATTATAGGGCGGTCGAATTCGGCCTAAACGCATGAACTTTGATTTTGTGTAGAAACCAAGAAATAAATCTCGACTTTCTTAATCAGAGTTGAACAACCTAGAAAACTGTAGGATAGACCGTTCTTTCTGTCCAAGTTGGAGTTCATAAGCTCATTAAACCTAAATAAACTAAGATAACTCTGCTAAGCTTTGATTTTTGTTAAAAGTATAACCTAACAAAAAAGTTTTTAGAAAAGGATTATCTTCATGGAATCTTCCCAAATGTTCTAGAAGGTAGTGATAACATCAGAACCTCGCCCTTAATCCGATCGATTGCTATTTCGATAAGACACAGTGTATTATTACCTTCCAACCCAGTCCTCATTGCTTATTTACAGACCTATCATTCCTCCTAACCCATTTAGGGAAGCCTGCTTTTCTTATACACTAATTTTATAGAGCAGTATCCGACAACCTGGGTCGGACAATTTAGGGATATTTTAGGACCAACTAAGTCCCAAGTTAATGCTACCCCAAGTGCGATGTGAACATTAGCTTATTGTAATGCCAAGGGAAGAATTGCCATAAGTAAATAATGGATACACACAGTCTACGATTTGTATATTATCACAAGTAAAGTTTTACAAACAAGGACTGTGTCTTATGTGAGTTAACAAAAAAAAAAAAATGTAAATAGGGAATTCTCCCATTATGCGCGAATTCCGAGATTCCAACAAAAATAAGGAAAGTGTAAATTTATTTTTTCGCGATTAACTCCATGTATACTTAAATACTTAGAAAGAGATCCTGCTAAATAGAGATGCCTGATAAAAAACAAACTGAAACCGTGTAGGAGAGAGAAATAGAATTCTAAACAGGAAAATAAATACACAAAATTTTAACCCGGGCAACCTTTTACACGAATAGAGAGGAAAATATATTAAACCTATTTTACACAGAACCTACAATCTCCTTAGGACGTGAATTCGTACAAGTTGGTGGAATCACACATATATAAAATTATATATAAATTTATAAAACGAGCAAACATTGTTATTCTGATTAATGTAAATCAGTTAAACCTCGATTAGATAATCTTTTACACAGTTAATTGAATTTTTATCCTCTACAAATTCCAATGAATCTATAAAACAACAGAACCCTATAACACCATTTGCACCAAGACCTTCCATTTCCTTTCATCTGCAAGACTTATATCGAAAACTCAACTATAGGAAACCCAACTCATTTAAAACTGTTATTGAGGGTATATTATTACGTTTTAACAATATACACAAATATTATTAGGTTACTATAACATCATCCATATTAAAAACCGTGGAGGGGTTAGTTATTATAATATATTTCCCCCAAATGTGCAGTAAATGTGATAGGGCTGTTGCAAATATGTTGCAATACTTTGTAATAAAACATAATGGTCAGCAATACTATCTTTTTTATCTAAATTTGTTTTCTATCTATCGGCTGAATAATTGGACGGCATATAATAGAAGAGAACCAATCTTCCACATATATTGAGTGAGCTTAAGTAAAAGCAAAAGGCCTTGGAAAATCTGGAAGCTATCAAACTTTTTTTTCTCAGCTTTCTGAAGTGATCTAGAGGATAGCATACATCTCGAAATCGGATTATATGGATCTATGTTATAAATAATGATGATATTAACAGTACTTAAATATGACATAACTTAATATAACTGAAAGGAAGACTTCACATTGCTCTTCCATCTTGGTAAAATAATTTGAAATCGAAAAGTATCAGACAGCATTCTTTTAAATTGGGAACACTATATATATATAAAAGACTTAAATGATTACAGTAAACAAATAAAACCAGATATTCTTCAACAGATTTGATAATAATCTTAATTTAAATAGGTACAAATTAAATAAAATTGAAATATTTAACTGTATTTTAAAAAACGTACCAAAAAAGGGAGGACAAATTTTACATCTCACTTCTATTCATTAACATTTCAATATTATTAATTTAGTTCAATACCTTGTAGGCAAGCCACTATTTTCTATCACTTCTATTAATATGTTTTTTATGGAGTCTATATTTTATTAGGCTAAACTGTTTCACTATCGCAGGAGATACGAGAAACTTCTTTGCTATAAATTTCTTGTTTTACAATTTCTACGTGAAATTTTGCACACAGATTGTACCACATTAGGATCTGGTGACTGTGGTAGAATTTCGATAACTTAGAACATTTATAAAGTAGCCATTGCTTAGCTAACATGACAGAGTGTTTGGGTTCATTATCCTGATAAAAAAACAATTATTTTTTAAGCCCAGATTTACAGAAATTTACTATAAGTTTCTTGTCAAAATCTCTGTGTAACCATGTTTATTCACTAAACCATGCGAATATTTCCACTATAAAGTGAAGATTTCTAACACCCCACACCGACAGAACACAAGAAAAGAATATAAAACATATCGTTATATGAGAACAAGAAAAAGAACATATCACTAGTAAGTTTATTGATAACAATAAACAATTATTGTTTTCAATGTAGTATAAATTGATCTATTCATTTATTTAATATATATATATATAAAATAGATATGGATTAGTGTTGCCCAAAATCGGTCTTGTTCTTGCACTTTGCGAGACCAAGACCAAGGCTTCTTAACTGTTGTAAGACCAAGACCATGATTGGTAAAAAAAAATCAAGTTTTTTAATAAAAATTAATTCAAAATACTTGACTATCTTAGTTACTATATGTTAATAATTGATATAACTAATATACTTTTGCATTCAACTCCTCTAATTTTTCATTCGGGCTTAGTTAGGTTTCTTCTATCTAAAAAATTACAGTAATATCTATAGTAATAAGTAACTGCAACACTGTTGCGAGGGTCTTGCGCAAGACCAAGGCCATGAACAAGACTGAGTTTGCAAGACCAAGACTCGTCTCGGTCTCGCATTTGGGCCACACTATCTATTTTTTTTACGACCCACCTTTTGAAATAATATATTTTTTCTACTAGTGATGATTGGAGTGGAATTTTTTCTCTAAATCATTGGACTATTAAAAAAATGCAAAACCAACTTGGGAAAAATTATATATGAATAAGAAAAAACATAACGATGTAAATTGATATAAGAAGACGTAACACACTAGACAATAAAATGGAATATGGCAGAGAGTAGATAGAAAGGAGAAGGTCCCCAGAGATACACACAGATGATATTATAAGTTGACAGCCACTCTGAAGGGATCACGGTAGTCAGTGAGTGGTACACCATCCCACACAAGATATAGTTCGCTTCACTGCTCATGTGCTTTCCCTACCCTATTTAGAATTATACACATATTCAAAAGTAAATGCGAGGAATGATAATAATAAAACCCGCAAGAAAAGAGAAGAGAAAAAGAAAACACCAAACATAAAAATAGTTGTATATAGTTGGTCGTATAGATCATTTTAAATTTGAGTTTTAAAAATTAAAGCAATTCTTGGTGAAATATTTTAAAATATAACTGATTACATACAAATAAAAGAAATGTTTTTAACAAAAAAAAAAAAAATATTATTACAGATAAAACAATAAAAACGATACAGAATTCAATTTAAATCCAGAGACAAATAGCTGAAATATTCTAAAACCTTCTAAAGCGATAAAGAACAAAACACACGATAACTCATTAACGGGTTTTCAATATATTTCTTGATAAGGAACAGTTCTTTCATCCACAACGGAGTAAAAGGGGGGGGGACAAGAAATTTAAGTATAGAGAATTAGTTATAATTTAGCAATTAATTTTAATAATAATTTTGGAATAATAACAACCAATCTGTTGCTTTTTTTTAGAAATTTATTTTTATGTTGATGATTACTTTATTTTTTTTAATTAACTGGCTTACAGATAATATGCATTTTAAATAATACAACAAACCGCTTGAATAATGAAATTAATACCGTATCTTTTCTTTTTAACATTCCATCAGTATATATACCAAAAATCATGATATATAAACATAAAAATCAAAGATTTCTGTTAGTTTCATTTCACTTTGATAAGTTGAGCAAATAATAATAAATGAAAATTCAAATTACACAATTTAATATATTTTAAAAAAAATCTTATGTTTTGTATGATAGTAAGCACACATTACTAAGATTAAAAATTGATAAAAAAAATTACTGACCACTTCACGAACCATAATGTGAGAAATTACGTTAGTAAGAACTATGTTTTTATATTATTACCGGATAAATTCAAAAGCAATAGAACATGTTATGATTTTGGTCCATTAAGGAGGGATTATAGAATCACCGTGTGACAGTGAGATGTACAACAAAGTGAGTTTCAAACAGCCATGGCATCTATTTGTATACCACTGTAAATAACGAAATACAAAATTAATTAACAAGCCTCTTTTCATATGTTCCAGTACTTCTCATAGATATTTTGAATATTCAAACTGAAACATAATAATTTAAACTTACTTATTTATTGGAACAAGAACAGATGCAATCTTAAAAAAAAAAAAAAAAAAAAACACATGAAAGTAGCGTATTAACATTTTTATATATAATATTATAAGAAGACTATACTAGACCAGATAGTTGTACCAACCACTCTATAATGTAAGTGAAATAAACAAATAAAAAAATCAAAGTAATGCTATTCCTGTGGACACCTTGGTCTGAAAAAGATTCATTTTAAAATACGTTCAAATTCATTCTATTAATTTCAAAATTGTCGTTACTTAA